GTACAATTACGCGGCACTAGCTGGCTGGAGCTCCATGCTTCCTGAAAGAACCGTATACATGAGAAATATTCTTTTCAGCCCTTCGGAAGAGTTGCAGGTTTGCATTTGTTTGATGTTCTGCTGCGCATCCTCAGGTTTGTGCTTAAGGTGAGCCACTCACTCGTCTCCGACGACGAGGCTGACTGGTTGGATGTGCTCGCGGAGGCGCGAGCCAGTGGTATGGTCGGCAGCTAGTAGCCATTCCTATCACGCAATCAGGCACCAGGCATACGGGTGACCCTTTCCGAGCTCCCTGAGACGCCGCGTACACATGCTCAAGTTCCCGCCACAAAACCGGTAGAACGAGGGCTACTTGCCATGAAAATTTTTTCCGCCCGGACGAATTACGCCAAAAAATCCACTGCTGTCCCTGTCTTCTCCTTCTCTCCCAAACAAATATGGTACGATCTGCGGCGTGGTGCCTCTTTGTCCGCTACTTGCACGCAGTGTCGACTAGCTTCAAGCACTTCGAACGCGTGGTGGACGGGAAATGCTTCCAAGTTCTTGATTTTTTTACAGGGCATGTCTTAGAGAGGTGAGAAGGCGTACTTCTGCGGTACAAACAGTTGTACAATTCTACTGCTGTGCTGCTGTGCTGCTGTGCTGTACCAGCAAGGGATAGTTAGCCAACGGCCACGGGCTACAGGCTACTCCATATCTTGTTGCCTCGCTCCGCTTCCCCCTCGCCGCCGGCGCGCCTCCGGCGACGTCTCCGCCCGGGGAGAATGCTGCCCCACGCGCCATCCCGGCACCTGGGCGCCGCCAAGTTCAAACCCCTCCTCCCCGCCAAACCGCCACTCTCTCCCGCGTCCTCCTCCCGCGGCACCCTCTGCGCCGCGGCCGCCTCCCGCCGCGACTTCCTCCTGCTCGTCCCGTCCCTGGCCGCGGCGTCCACGGCCCTCCAGTACCTCCCGCTCGCGGCCTCCGCCGCGGACGACGAGAAGCCGGCCCCGACACCGCCGCCCGTTCCGGCCGCAGCACCGGCCCCGACACCTGCTGCGGAGTCCGAAGGGGAGGCGCTGTCGAGGATGTACGACGCCACGGTCATCGGCGAGCCGCAGGCCGTGGGGAAGGACGCGCGCGGGAGGGTGTGGGAGAAGCTCATGGCCGCGCGGGTCGTCTACCTCGGGGAGGCCGAGCTCGTGCCCGACCGCGACGACCGGGTGCTCGAGCTCGAGATCGTCAGGAAGCTGGCCGCTCGCTGCGCGGACGCCGGCAGGACCCTCTCGCTCTCGCTCGAGGCCTTCCCCTGCGACCTCCAGGAGCAGCTCAACCAGTTCATGGATGGGAGGTTTGCTACTGCCCTTTTTGTTGATTGGAACGGATTTTACCTGTTCCTAGTTGCCATAATTCATAATTCTAACCGAGATACGTACAGTACAGGTAGAATTTTCTACATGCTCAGAGCTTTGTGAACCAGTTCATTGATATTGTGGTTTCATTTTGATAGATCTATATTACTGGGAAGTTAAGAGTAGTTTCGACTCAGGATTTAGAATATCGATAACAGAAAATTCTAAGACCCCGTGGAAATATTTTGAATTTCCAAAAAAATGGAATTATTCCAATCAAAGTTCACTGAATTAGACCCAGTTTAAATTTGATTTGAATTAATTTGAATCTCGTCTGAAATTTTGCGATAACAAACATTTCAGGGCCCACCGAATTTAAGAAAACATGTTGAATTTTTTAATCCTTGTTCACCTTTATGGGGAAATAGTGTATTTCTATGAGAGCGATTGTGATTTGTCAGCCTTGCAATACTTCCTCGACGAACTTCTAACAGGCCTATCTTAATTCAGAATTGACGGCAACAACTTAAGGTTGTACACATCTCAATGGGCACCGGAGCGCTGGCAGGAGTATGAACCTCTTTTAAACTACTGCCGTGATAATGGAATCAAGCTTATTGCATGTGGAACTCCGCTTGAGGTAATTCATCATTGTCACACACATCATCCAGCAAAACTGCATCTGCATGTGTTTGTTTATGCATATTTTTATCATCACGATCTTGTTCATTAGTACTTCTGACTTTCTAAGGCTGACTAGACTTGAGAATTGTAGTTATTCAGTGTTGATTTTTACATTATTCCAGCTGGCAAGCCTTTTCCTGCCTTGCGTCATCAAGTGCTTTTACTCGATGCGTAAGCACCTATTCTACATCCTCATTGGCCCTTGTCTGAGAAGTATTCTTATATGCAGCATACAGACAGCTTAGTTTTCTCTGTGGTGAAAAGTACTTAATACATTTCTTGACTAGGTGGTAAGAACTGTCCAAGCAGAAGGAATCAAAGGCCTTTCAAAAGAGCAGAGGAAGTTGTATGCTCCTCCAGCTGGCTCAGGCTTCATTTCTGGCTTTACATCCATCTCAGGCCGATCATTGATAGACAAGACGTCATCCTCTCGTGTCTCTCCTTTTGGTCCTAGCTCATATCTATCTGCACAGGCAAGAGTAGTTGATGATTATACCATGTCCCAAATAATAATGAAGGAAATTAGTACTGGAGATCCTTCAGGGATGCTCGTTGTTGTAACTGGTGCAAGCCATGTTATGTATGGGTCACGAGGAATTGGTGTTCCTGCCAGAATATCTAAAAAGATGCAAAAGAAAAAGCAAGTTGTGATCCTTCTTGATCCTGAGAGGCAAGGTATAAGGCGAGAAGGTGAAATCCCCGTAGCGGATTTATTGTGGTATTCTGCTGCCAAGCCATGCAGTCGAAATTGCTTTGACCGTGCTGAAATCGCTAGAGTTATGAATGCAGCTGGTAGGAGGCGTGAAGCTCTGCCCCAGGTTATCACTTGCTCTGTCAGCATATCTTTTGTACTCCTTTGCATTATATCTCTTACTAACTGTAACATGCCGTAAATGATGTTACTCTAGAAAACCAGTAATGGGCTCTTTAAAAAGTTAACGCAGCTAAAAACTTGCTATGTCAGGCAGTTATGATTTCTAATAACATTGCATTTTCTTATGTTTGAGATAATGTAATTTTTTTGCATTTATTTCATTACAGGATATTCAGAAAGGAATAGATCTTGGTGTAGTTTCTCCTGAGATATTGCAGAACTTTTTTGACCTTGAGAAATATCCTGTTGTGGATGAATTGATTCACCGATTCCAAGTAGGCACCTGCTTTACTCTTTCACTCCTTTCCCTTGTAGTTATCTATTTATGGGTTAGTGCTTGACCATACGGCTGCATACTACTGCTTCAATAATATATTCCTTCCTTGATTATATTTTTTAAAAAATCTATCAGAACTGTTTATGGACAGCTCAGCCCTGTCAGATTTTATCCAGGATCAGCCCCGCCTGGCATCCCAAAAGGAAAGAACTGCCAGAAATAATCAATATTTACTAGTGATATTATGTGAAAGATGTGAAAAATATTTTGGGAAACTGAAAGTTCAAGGCTGGGTTTACAAGGGCTGGGCCAGTCCTTGAGCGGTCTAATTGATTCTGCTTCTTTATAGCTAGGAGAACTTACTGCATGTTGATGATGTTGAAAATGGTCATTTTGTGCAGGGTTTCCGTGAAAGGTTACTGGCAGATCCCCAATTCTTGAATAGATTAGCTATCGAAGAGGGTATATCAATAACTACAGCTGTCCTGGCACAATATGAAAAACGGAAAGGACGGTTTTTTGAAGAGATCGACTATGTCCTTACTGATACAATTAGAGGTTCTGTTGTTGACTTTTTTACAGTCTGGCTTCCTGCTCCTACTATTTCGCTCTTATCTATTGCTGACAATGGTTCTGGTGAGAGCTTGGAGCTTGTCAGAGGATTGTTAGGGTCACTGCCAGATAATGCATTTCAAAAGGGTATCGTGGGCCAGAATTGGGACATGAATCAGAGATTTGCATCGGTACTAGTGGGTGGTTTGAAACTTGCTGGTGTTGGATTTGTTTCCAGTATTGGAGCTGGAGTTGCTTCGGATGTTTTGTATGCTGCTCGTCGATTTTTGAGTCCTACAAGTATAGAGGCAGAACGCCCAAGAGCTCCCATTTGGAAAGCAGCGTCTGTGTATAGTGGCTTCCTTGGAACATCAGCGAATCTGCGGTATCAGGTGCTTCCTTGTTATCCTCTTTCTAATTTCAAATGAAGGGTCAAGAATTTAGATGTATATATGTGATGAAGTTCTAATACTAAAAAATTGTTCACAAGTGATTCTGGCTGATCATGTGGATATGTTTTGTCTGTCGAGTTGCACATGTGAGGGCACATGATAGGAAATTTAGCAATGGTTAAAATGATCTGTAGTATAACATACCGTGGATGAATGAGTTAGTCTAAGGGCATACTGAGGCCTTGCAGCTGCAACTGTATGCTATCAAGCAGCCTGTCTAGTGATTTATGATCATATAAGCACAACTTATAATTTTGCCTTCCATTTCTGACTTATTCTGCGATATCTAACATTTCCCCGACAAATATGTTAAGGTCATTGCTGGTCTAGTGGAGCATCGGCTTGGAGAGTATCTTGTGTCATACTATAATCAGCCATTTCTTGCTAATGTGCTGTCCTTTGTTGCACGGATAATCAATTCATACTTTGGAACACAGGTTTGCCACTTCTGCATTTTGTACTCCTGTTATTAAGTGTTTTTTTTTCTGGTTAAGGTGTTCCATCAAGCTGGTTGAACTAAACAAACAAATATCGGGATATCCTTCCAAAGAAAAAAACGTGTGATTCAGAGAGCAGGTTAGCTATTGATGAATAGGGGCTAATTTAATCATTTTCAATTAGCATGATATGGGAGACCTCTTAAGGTTATGGCTACAACATGTGGTCTCCTCTCTCCATACAAAGCAGATATGGGATACAAGTGTACGACTCCAACACTAACACCATGCCCTGGCCACACACTTTGTAGTACATATTACATTACTACAAGATCCAAATCTAACTTGTAAGTTATAACCTACAAGTACACATTCGCCACAAACTCAGTACTCAACACATGTCATCTCGCATGTGTGTCCTGTACATGTGCTAAGAAAATATTGGAGGCTCCACTGGTCACACTTAGGCCCTGTTCGGGATGTAGGTGCTCAAAACAGAGGAATAGAAAAAAGTGTAGGAACAGGGTGAAGGACAAAGTCAAAACCTACAGGCTTGAAATTGGAGGAATTTTTTTAACTAGTGGTGCTCGGAACGCAGGAAGCCAGTGTAGCTGTACTCGAGATAGAATGCGCTAATGGCTGGACTAAAAAAATCAAGGGCAACCTGCTGTGCATGCGACGGGGCGCATCGTTGTTACATGTGAACATAGACCACATGCACCACCACCGTTTTAGCAACACAGGTCCATGCATGGTCCATGTAAACCAGGTCTACCCCACTTCTGGAGCCAGACATGTCAAATCCAGTACTCCTGCACTGCGTCAGTTTGCCTCGGGCCTACGCGAAAAATGAGCTTCCGGTGGATGTTTCAGTTCCCGTGAAAAGCGCAGGCTAAGAAGCCTTTCCTTTGGAATCGGTTGGGCTGTTTCCTTTGTACCGAACGCTCCTAAAGAAAAAAATACTCAAGGAAAGGAAACCACCACAATTCCCGTAAAATTCCTTCGTCCCGAACAGGGCCTTAACGGGTGCATGTGTGTCACTCCGTTTTAATAGAGCGCGCCATGTCAATCCTAGGAATTATACCTAAATAATCAAATAATCAATATCCGTCACTAGAACCAAAGGTTCATCTGTCAACACGCACATTGTTGCATTGATGAATGTCTAAATATATGTGCATGAAGAGCATATTAGTGCATGCACACAAAGTCAATTGCATCTAACACGGTCGATTCACTTCATCCTACGGGTCAAATGCTCCGCACCATTTAGATGCAACTGGATGCACAACAGTGCAGATCATTTGACCCATAGGATTAGCTATTAATGCAGAATTGGATACACTAATTCTTTTGGATCAAGCCGCTAGCCCGTTCAACCACTATCCGCGGTGCAGATCACTCATCCATTGGATGAAATGAAATGATCCACCCCAACCCCTAAGTTTGTGTCTGGTAGAACCGTTGCTAAATATCTCCAGGGACAGAAATAAAACTCCTACAACGGCAAGGATTCATTTGTGCAGTCTATTACTCCACTACTCAGCTTCATACATATATTTATGCATGATAATACTTGCATTCCAGGTTTCTCTAGTCGTTACTGACAGCTATGTTTGATGCAGCAATGGATTGATCTTGCACGATCTACAGGCATCCAAACTAGCGAGGAAGAGCCACCTTCTCCTGGCACTCTCATCTCATCAGAAATACCAGTGTTAGAATGTGGCACGGCAGAAGTACCAAGTACAGACGATATTAATAAGAACCAATCAGGTGAGCAGACATAGCCAAAAGGCTATTGGCTGTGGGCATCCAACTCAAGGAACAGTCTCCATCTTATGTTACATCACATACAGTACAGGCATATAGACACACAAGGTGTTCGTACAGCAAGACTGAATCCCAACCACATTGCATTGTTTTTCGGGAAGGAAAACATGAAATTTTGAAGAGCAGAGTTTTTATTTGAGCATTCTTTTCTTGCGGCTAAAAGGACTTCTTCTACACATCTCTGGAGTGAGTAAATATATTGTGTACATCATCAGGAAACAGTCAGATTCTGAAACACACACACACCCCATTTAGACTCTTGATATAATCTTGGATTGGCATTTGGTAACATAAGTTGAGTTTCCATGAGAAAAAATTTCCCACCTTGTTTGGCAGCCATGAGTTGTATTTGATCAAATGAGTTGAATTCAAGTACAATTTTTACCATAACTGGAACTGGTAGAAATTGGTATCTCCATTTTTTGTGTTTAGTGTCATCTGGAACTGTCGATACTTGTTTACACCAGTGACTGGTGAGAGATGGACGCCTCTGTGCGCTGGCCCAGCATGTTCATCCAAATGCAGTGCAGGCATACATCGGGCTCCTGTCCTTTCGATATGTCGTAATCGTACAATTAATCGAACAAATCTAGCCCGCTGTTGCTATTGCCAGAGGAATCCAGTTCCAAGTCACGCCCATCCAACGCGGCGATATTCATCTTCTTTTTCCAAGGACCCAAATATGCGTCCTCACCGACCGATCTCTGGACCATCGAGGAAGAGGACATATCCGAAGTCTAAATAACTGATGCTATTATGAGAGGCAAGTCTGAAGTGCCCAAGGAGGACCGGATCCGGATTCTGAGTAAGGCTGTGGCAAATAATAATAATCATTTCAGCTGCAGCTGAAATATCCATGTGGCAGCAAAATCAGCAACAGTAAAGTTCTAGCACGCTGAAGCATTTGCTGCAGCGGTTGCGGTCTGGCTCTTGATCTGAACCGTTCGACACGGTGGGTACATCCTCCCAGCACTTCAGGTTGGGATTTCATCTCTGACGCTGAAAAACATTTCTCAGTTCCCAGGGGACGGACTTCATCACTTCAGAGGATCAACACTGGGGGGATATTTGACGGATCATATTCATTACGAGTGTTCATCTAGTCTTAGATTTCAAAACCCTTATTAATAAGTCCAGGTGCAGAGCAAGTACAGAGTGTGCACACATACGGTGGATACTCCCATCACGTGACATGGCACGGCGCAGCCAGAGGGCAGCAGACGGGGTCAGACGCCGGCGCATGCTTCCGAGCCTGGCATCTGGCTTGCCAGGTTGGCCGCCACATGCAGCGGCGCGGCACGAGCAGTTCGCTCCGGGAATGCCGGGCTGCCTACCCCAATATCTGAACGGGAAGAGTATCCATCTTGGACCGACGGACGGATGCCGAGGCGGTCGGTGCAGGTACGGTACGGCGCGGCCGGATAGAGTATACCTGATGCGAGCGCGCACGAAGCTTCCCCGCTCCTTCCTTCCTCTCCAGGGCTCCAGCTACGAGGAGCCGAACCACCGCTGCACGCACGTGCGCCTCTGCGCGCCCATCTGTCGCTCACGCGCTCGCCTGCGCCGGCCTGACAGGCAGGAAATCCAAGCGGCGACGAACTGGCCACTGCCTCGGTGGCATAGTTAAGGGCTTCGCGCTCGTGTGTCGTGTGTGACTGGATGCCGGACGTGACCGCGTACTTGCACACACACCGGCAGACCCAGCGAACGGACCGGACGCGCTTGTTCACCCGAACCACTGACCGTACAGCGCAGCGTACCGTTGGTGGATCGGCAGTGGAGGGCAATTCGTCGGCAACCGAGTTGATCTTTCTTTATTTTCGGAACATGGAGGCTACACGCACGGGCGCCGGTCCGCCGTCGTGCGACGCACGACGTCGCGGGGGCAGCGGCAGACGTGCGGCCCAACACGGGAGAGAAAACAGACCCCGCTCCCCATAGATCCGCTGCTCCCCGCCGGCGCGCCAGATATCTTCTTCGGCCCTGCGACGCTGCGACGTACGCCCGACGCGACCGTGCAGCGGCGCAAAGTTCCCGCGCCCGGTCCAGTACGCCCCCGGCAGCGGCGCCAACTTGTTCAAGCTTGTATACAACGCCGGAGTGCAGCGGCCTCGGCCCCCGGGCGGCGGCGGATTTGGGCGGTTCGACGAGGGGATTTGGAATGTTGGGTGCGCCTGATGTGGTCACCGTGCCGTGCCGTGTGAAGCGCTGGCGCCGGGCAGCTTCCGGGCCGGACGCCCAACGTTTTCTACGAGCCTCCCTCGGATCGATCACACGGTGGCTTCCCAGAGCACGGGAAATGTCATTCTCATGGCGGTGACATCTTTTCATCGTAGGTTCCTCACTTCGCCACTCGTGACAAGCATGTCTCGGATTATTCTTCCGTGTGTGCATGCATGTAACGCTTTCATTTCATGCCGTCCGCCACTCACAAGTGATAGATAAACATACCATGTTTATTGAGCGCCATTTTTGTTCTCCCGTAAAAGGCTGGGCGTGGGTGATGCTAGTACACGATTATCAAAATTAATAATACACTAGTATAAGACAAGAACCTAATGACATCCAAATACTCTAGTACTACAAGACATGTTCAGTCTACTTGCGCAATGTGATCCGTACTTCGTACTACGTACCAAGGGGAGTGCATTCAACGATTTGGTTGGTGTATATGAGATTTCCAGATCTCTGGTAATCAAGATGTGTTCGTTTAGCATACGACAGGTGTGGCTAATTAGTGGTTTCCTAAGTGACGAGAGTTAAGCTTAAATTCGCTCATAAGCTGAACTTAAAAAACACTTTCAAGTCCAACGTTTTTTTTTACAATATACAAAGTCGATTTGCAAAAAGAAGATTTATCTTATCTTTTCGAGTGCGGCAGTGGAGATTTCTTCTCCTTCTTCTTCTTAAAAGCATTCTCACCAAGGGCGTACGTCGGCAAAAACGTGTAGCTAAAATTTCTAGATATTTTAAGATGGAACAATATTTGCAAAGTAAATCCTGGCATATATGTGTGGAAGTTCCATTGTGAAGTTTAAAGGGCAAACCAGCATGTTTATCACAAGAGCATCTGGTTCCATTGTGCATTTTAGGCCTTAGCCACCCCCGTCTACTCTACGCCATTAGCCATTAGGGTTTAGGAATGTTCCCCGTGAGAATCACAACAGATAATGCAGGTAAGATCACCCCTAATCATTGCATGCGATCGGCTGCTTCGTGGCAACTTCTGCTCAAGAACACAAGCTGGCTAGGCCATGACCACCATCCTTATACCATAACAGTCTCAAACTATTGGCCTAATCATAATAATAATCTAGCTGCCATCTCGGTTTTTGGATGCTAGTGAAAAACTAATAGGGATGCCTCCAAAGGAATCTATGGGAAAGCAGAGAACACGTATCCAGTGAGGCAAAGCATTTTTAAAATACAAGCCTTGAACGAACTTGCATGGCCCCGAGAACATGGTGCACGGTGCCTTTCTTTGTCCTACAGCCTAGATATCGTTTTCTTCTGTGGAGTATATCTAGATATAGTTGGTATAAAAAGGCTGGCCATATTTCATTCCATCAATAATGCTGGAGACACACTTACATGGGAATAGCCAGGGAGAAAGGGACACTCCTGCATACAATTCTGTATTGGTCGATCTTGCAGATAAAGGAGCAACGAAGAGAGGTAATGGAGTTGGACACAAAGCTGCTAGAACGGATAGCAAATGAGGTCTACAGAGCTTCGCAAGGCTGGAGATACAATGTTGTGCGTTTGGAAGGATAAAAAGTCTCCTCCTGAAGCTTCTGCTGAATCTCTTTTGTTGTTTTTGTTCCTAGTAGTGTCTTTTGGGATGTAAAATATGATGCTTAGGCCTCCTGCTGAGGTTTTCCTTTCGAACTGTAATAAGGTAGATTTGGATATGTGATACTATTTGGTGTTGCTCTGCCCTTCTGATGTGAAGGATGGAAGGTTGGTTTAGTTTCTAGTAGCTAGGTATGGTCGAGGGTACGCTGGATAATGTAGTAGTTTGAACTGCTTTGGTTTTCTTAATGAGAATCGGAAGGGGGAGCCCTTCTTTTATTAAAAAAAAAGAACTCTACTGTCATTTAGATTCGCTTGAAAAATATGTAGTCAGCTAGATAAGATTGTAAGTCGAACTTTTGCAACAAAAAAGGCGCAAGTCAAAATCTTTATTTTCAAAACTATAGGATTCACTAAATAAGGCTTCAAGCAACTAGACTCAATTTAAGACTCAGATATGTAGTAGGGTACAAAGCTAAACAACCTACCTAACAATAGATACTGGCCTACTCCCAATTACATTTCTATTTTGGATTTTAGTACAAAAACATTCTGTGTGCATTCCAACTGCCGATTCTCACATACAAATAGCTTAAAATTACCAATTCTGCACTGCAAGAATTTTGAAGTTCATATATTCTACGCAAGAGCTCCTATTCTCATGAAACCCCCTTGATTGACATTGAACACTCGTGTAATATTAAGGAGAATTGGGTCCTTTCAAACATATCATGTAAATAATCTTTTGATTACTCGTAAACATATGGTAGGGGCCTCCCCTGACGTTTCTCAATAACAAGTCTTTGGAGAAAACTTGAAAATTGAGTTTCATTTAATCTCTAAAACACATAAAGTTTTTGGGAAAATCCTGCCAGGGGCACTCTCTATTAACTAAGAACGAGAGAAAATCAAGTATTTATAAGAGTTATGTACAAACCACATGAGGACTACTACCACTCAATATCATTGCTAGACTCGCGTGGCAAACGGGCACTGACGATGCGTTGGATATCCTGGAATGGTAACTGGGACACTTTCATGTATCTGAGGTGCACTCCTTTGAAGATATGTACTCGGTCCCATTCATTTCACCCGCTCCACAATGCATATAGTAGACAACTACTACGAATTGTGTGGGTTTCCTTGGATGTGGCGCCTATGATCA